TGGTAGAAAATGATTAGTAACGGTGGTGGGAGAATGAAAAAACCATGAATGTAGTTATAGTGGTGGTAGCTTGAACTAAAAAAGTGGTTGTTGGTGTTTTATTTTATTTTTGTTTTATTTTGTTATATGTATTAATTTATTTTGGTATAAATCCTGATAATAGGTATTCTGTGTGAAATTAAACATCACCATATAAATTAAACAATAAGGATTAATTAAATTTTTACCTGTTATATATACACAGACACCAAAAACAAACAAATAACCATTTTAAATATAACAAATAAACCCCCATTTTTTTAAAAATTTAAAAAATAAATATAAATAATTATAATAATAATTTTTATATATCATAATTTTACAAACCCCATACACGTATATACATACATAATGAAATATTTTTCAACACAAAAAAAAAAAAAAAAAAAATTTCATAATATGACATGGATACATTCACGAGACATTAACGAGACATTTCCGCCACACTTCCAATGTTTAAATTTCAACATTTCAACATACAAATGCGTATGTATAGATATAACACCACCCGTATACATACATGTTTCATAGACGTAACTGCCCACATACGTTTATATATGTATGAGTCCCGACGGACAACCAAGTATGTATGTATGTGTCTGCATATATCGATGTTTGCGTTAGTACGATGAATGACAAAACGACGAAATTTCCCCACCACTTCACAATAACACCAATACACGCAATCTACATAAACCCAAATTTTTTAAAACATTAATCAGTTTGTCTGACGATCGCTAAAGCGTGAAACCCAGGGTCACAAACTCACATCTATCCAACCAAATATAAATAAATATATATATATATATATATATATATATATATATATATATATATACAAAATGTATATATAATATATATATGTATATATATATATTTATATATACAATTGAATATCCTATTACCCAAACTGGTGGGAAAAAAGAGGATCTGTTACCAACTGTTTCTTTCTGTTCTTTATTGGTCTAGAAATGAAGAAACTACACAAATTGTGCGTATTTTCAGATCTTCATGAATAATTCTGTGTACATTTGCCATAACAACTGCCTTCTTATTGTCTTTGTGGATTAACAACGGTCTTCATTCCAATAATTGCGTATTTTCTCAACCAGCTCGAATGTTCTGACGTCTACTTCCATCCCACATAACTCGACATTACTTACCAATGAAAAATAGATGTTTGGCTCTTACAAGTTAATGCATAACCATCTTGTGCATTTCATAAGTTTATGTTTTTCAACGGAAAAAAAAAAAAAAGTTTAACACAAAAGTTTATTGTATATCTAGCTTCAAAATTGTCTTCACGTCCTGAGTGCATTCGAAAAATGACGAAACGCCTTTTTTAAAGAACCTTTTTCGTTCAATACTTCTTCAGAAAAGTTCGTTGATATAACAATAATCAAAACTGACGGAGTCAATAATTTTGACTCATTCAGTTTGTGTGTCAGCGATTGGACTTCATTTCATTAACAACTCGTGTTGCGCTTCCGAATGTGCTGACGGAGAGTTCAGGATGCTTCACAGGGCTCGTTCGTTTAAGCACTTACGGTTTTTAGAAGCGGTTTAGATGAAGTTTCATCAATCAACTTCACAGGCAAAATGAGAACTTTCTTGGTATGTTTATGTCTATAAGTTGGATATATGTATTTTTTTTATGTATATATTCATCAATTTGTTTGTTTTTAATAATACATTTATTTTAGTCGTGGCTCCTTATTTTGAACTTAATTTTTTAATAATTTTTGTTTTTAATGAAGATCCAAGAAATTTTAGGCAAAAAATGTTCAAAAAAAAGAATCTGTTATTATGAAAAGAATCTGTTCCATCAATTTGAAAGCCATATATAAATTCTAAGACAGATCTTATGGCAAAATTGTTGGATGAAAATGTGTCTTTAAAAGAAAGCGTTCCGTCAGTCATCATGTGAAAACAATTTTGAAGCTAGCTATGCAATAATCCTTTGTGTTAAACTGGGCAAAATTTTTTGATTATATATATATATAATATGGGTATAGAAATTAACATGCAGAGTTAATGGAAAGTGATGGTAAAAATGATTATATTGCAGAACACGAACAAAACCAATCACTATGCTTGAAAGGAAGCATTTACAGTGATAAGAAGTTAAATGTTTAAGAGATTACTTTGTTGTTTGTTATCCGCTTAATTCTTATGTTATAAGAAAATACATACACATTTGTAGAAATGCGTCGTGTGTCGTTTATATAAAGTTATAAATTATTATTTGCCTTTTTCATTGTCTTCCTTTGTTACTTCACACTGCCACTTCCTCGTGACTTTATTTTGCAACGCCCATCTATCTTCCCTCCAGCAACCACTGAAAAACTGTTCTTTCGAATTGAATTATACAACACAAAACAGACTTGAGGCTAAACAATTCTTTATTCACTCATTACTTATGATAGATTTAAAGGATTTTTTGTGTTTTTTTTTTCGAAAAGACAGCCCCCTCACTAATTTCCTTCGCTCTTTCAATTAATTCGTCATCTTTGTGTTGTTTTGTTATTTAACCATTTCACTATGTCTACACTTCATTGATGTATTGGAAAATTTATTTTTAGTCATTTATTCAAAAGATTACTCTCAGTTAAGGCTTTCTTATTTATTTTCTTCCTTTCCTTGACAAAAACGTTTTTCTTTTTTTTCACACTTTTTTCTTTCTTTTCTTTCTTTCTTTTTTTTTTTCTTTTCTTATTTTCTTTCTTTCTTTCTTTCTTTCTTTCTTTCACACGCATTTTTCTTTCTTTCTTTCTTTGATTCACCTTTTCTCTTTCTTTCTTACTTTCTTTGACTCACCTTTTTTCTTTCTTTCTTTCCCTCTTTCTGACTTTCTTTGGCTCACCTTTATCATTCTTTCTTTCTTTGATTCACCTTTTGTCTTTCTTTCTTTCTTTGACTCACCACCTTTACCTTTTTTCTTTTTTTTTTTTCTTTTTTTTTTTATTCTTGTCTTCTTTCTGTCGCATAAAATTTTTTTTTCTTTTTTTTTTTGATTCATTAATTTTTTTCTTTCTTTGACTCAGTTTTTTGCCTTTCTTTCTTTCTTTGACTCACCTTTTTTCTTTCTTTCCTTCTTTCTGTCTTTCTTTGGCTCACCTTTATCTTTCTTTCTTTCTTTCTTTGACTCAATTTTTCTTTTTTTTTTTAGGTTTCCTTTTCTGTCTGTCTTTGGTCATTTGTTTTTTCTTTCTTTCTTTCTTTCTTTCTTTCTTTCTTTGACTCACCTTTTTGCCTTTTTTTTGACTCTTCTTTTTTCTTACTTTATTTCTGTGACTAACATTTCTTTCTTTGTTTCACCTTTTTTTATTTGTTCACTTTATTCTTTGAGTGTTCGCTCTTGCTCGATCCTCATCTATTTCCTCTACACCGCAATCCGTTCACCTGCTACATATAATTGGTATTTTTTATTTAAGTAAACATTTAATGCGATATTAGAACGACGACCCAGAAATAGCACACACACTTTGCTATTAATTATCTGAAAATACAAACACAAACTTACATAAATTTATTTCATTTGGCAATTAGTTTTTCTTAGAACATTTCATGTTTCTTTTTTTCCTATACACACATAGTCATAAATGTTTTTTTTTTTTTTTTTTTTTTGTTATTTTAATCGATATCACCCCATGCAAGGCAGTTAAGCCACTAAGACTGAAGGGGTTACAGGGTGTGTGAGAATTAAGAACAGAAACATTTTGTTTCTAAGTAGAAAGAAAAAAGATATAGGAAAGGAGGACAGTAGAGCCATTGATATTTGCATTAAAATTTTTTAAGATTAAATATATGAAATTGGAAGGGAGTTTAAAAAGCTGGAAATCATGTTCTTTTGAATTACAAGCGAGAAATGCGGGAAAGAAACAGTTTAACATAGAATTTATTTTTACATCGAGTCAGATGAATTGCAAATTGACAAAAATGTTTTTTCAATTCTAGTACTGCGCTTAAATTTTTTTAAAAAAAGTCTAGGTACCAGAGTTTTGAAAGAGAATCATCCGAACAATTACCATGAAAAAAGATATAAAAAAGAACAGGTTGGCAATTTTAAGGCGAATGGAAAAACTAATTAAAATAAATTTCACTACATCAGGACCCATAAAATTGCTGATTGTTCACGGTAAATATTAGGGACACCAGACCATATGTATTTATAAAATATTCTAAGCATGGACGAATGGTAGACTTATTATTGTTATTATTACTATTATTACTCCCTATCATTTCTCTCTTTCCTTCCGCGTCCCAACCAGCGACCTAAGATGATATTTGTGTAAAAAAAAGGGAACTCTAAAAACCCACAGATTTTACATAGTTGAATCATTTCTTATGGTATTGAGCTGTGCTTGCGAGAACAACTTTTCTTTCTTTAAGGCATTTTGTGCCGTGGATACATTCAATTAGTGTCAGAAGATTTTCCAATCAAGACCAGAACCTCAATCAGCACTGCAATTATTAATGTCTTCAAGCGCTACCTATTTGAAATTTCTACTTCAAGATTTTGTATTTTTCATAGGTTTTCTGAATATCTTCAAAGATGCATTAGAGTTTCCAGGGCCTGATATATCAGTAAGAAAGTATATTCTGTTTTTTGTTCACAACGCCTGGACGATTAGCTTTAATTGTTCTGTTTGTGTGTATTGTAAAGTCACATAAAATTGTTATAGATCATCTGACTGTAACTGGGTCTGGATCAGAACCAGTAATGTTGCTGATTCTTGTATAGTTTTTTTTTATCAAATAGCTTAAGGTAAATAGCAGGAAAACTTACCTTAGCCGGCGCGTTTCGTCCTCTGATGGAATTTATCAAGGCCAATATCATCATTTTATTTTGTAACATGTATTTATAGACATGTCAATTTGTCAAAAAAAAAAAAAAGAATAAATAAATTTAAGAGACTCACAGAAATATTCATCAGGTGAGCTGAAAATCTATATAAGTATGAGGGATGCTAAGTGATGTAATTTAATGTCTAATAAACGAAACTGAATAAAAGATGTTCTTGAAATTTTTATGCAAATTAATATCTATATTATTTAGTTTGTGATTAATTTAACAGTTTTCTTTTTATAGCCATTTATGCTGGCTTGGAAAAGTAGTAATTCTTTCAGGAATGAAAATATTTAAAAAAAATCCTGGCGTAGATTTATATTTTGTTAAGATTCGATATTGGCACTCTTTTAATTCTTCCATCTAAGTAAGTTACTTTCTCTTCTAATAAGTGTTGCATTTTTTAGATCAAAGTTCTGGATGGGTTTATTTCTATGTATAACTAAAGCATTTACTAAATATTTTGTGTATATGGTATCTTTTGAACGATTTTTGAAAATTTCTACAATTTTTCTAATTAAATATTATTTTCTTTTATTTCTTTCTGACATTTTCGTCTTTGCGAATTACTTTCTCTTTTAATAGCATTAGAAAAATTTTGAAACTACCAGCGTCTCTCGTTCATGTGCATGTGTAGTCGTGGAAAGGTCAACAAACCCGATCCGATGAAGTCCTAATGGATGAAATGCGTCACAAATTAACTTTTTCCATTTTGTCTTACAATTTCATATGTGTATGTGTGTGTGTATGTATGGGTGTGGGTGTGGGTGAAAATATATAGAAAATATGAAAACTCGTTAGGTAAATAATACGAAGTACTTTTGTTTTTATTTTAAAAAAATACAGTGCTCGATACAAAGGTAGGGCCTAAATTATAATTATTTTTTTTTTAAATATGATTCCTCCACTACATAAGAGTTCTCATGTTTCAAAAACAAGAGCAAAAAACTTCAATATGATTATTAGAATTAAATTGAATTAAAGTACCATGCTCTGTTTCATCTTCAAGCGAAATTTTTGGAATTGATTCCAAGCAAGCGAAATTTTTGGAAACATGAGAACTCTTAAGTAGCGGAAGAATCATATATTTAAATAAATAATTATAATATATATATATATATATATATATATATATATATATATATATATATGTGTGTGTGTGTGTGTGTGTGTGTGTGTGTGTGTGTGTGTAATCCTACATTTAACATTATTATATTAGGTAATTTTGAATATCGTTTACTATATTTAGCTTAATAATTTTTGAAAGTTTGACGATGTCTTGGAATAAGAAAATTTTACAATATTAACTTGATCTGTAATGCAACCTTCTGGCTTATAAAGTTGTGCGCCTTCGGCCATTCACCGCCTTGGGTCTAGACTCAATTGTCATAGTCTATTTGAGATGTATTGTACGGAAGTATTTTATAGACGATGGGAGCTTGTCCCAACTATCACTCCTGGCTATGATAAACTTTGTAATATATAAAATGTACGTATATAATCATTACGTGTTTTAGAATCGCCTAATTTCTTTCTTTCAATAATATAAAATGTTATGTAAATAAAACCACTACAAATCAAGATACATTACAAAATAATCGTGCATAAATAAACTAATGCAAATATCGAAAAGTTTGTATGGTTGCAAAACACAGGCTAGCTTTTTGGGTGTTAGGAAACACAAATTGACTGAGTCAGTGTCTGCAACAAGGATTAACTAGTCAGTCTTGCATACCGATAATCTCAGATACAACGACCAGCCATGTATATATACTTTACATAATTTCTATGTGAACAGCTTTGTAAGTATATACGTGAGCGGTTAGATTGACAATTGAGAATAGAGTTTCATATTCTTAACCATTTTCCACTAAGATTGAGTTCTGCTCATTTGAGCCTGGAGAATTTATATGTATAATTATCAGGCTGTCTATAAATCCAGGCATTTCTAAATTTACGTTATATGCATTGTCGAACAAACAAAACGTACAATCATGAGTGAAATAGCCAAAGCAAGAATAGTAAAACCTGGAAATACTTTATTCCTGCGCAATGGACGCTGTATGCCGTCACTAAAATAGATCATTCTGAATAGCATTCATGTAGAATCGAAAATCCTTCGTCGCATGTTTCAATATGACTAATACTGATAAAGCGAATAGGGGGAAATAATCAATTCCGCTAATATTTTTGGTTGACCTTAGAAACACGTCAGATTCTTCTTTTTCCCGCTCCACCATAAGTCAGACATGAAGAACCTCGTTTCCCATTATTACAGCGAATAAAACGTATTTTTGTTTACACAAAATTAGTACGTAATATTTTCTCAATTAGTGAGTATCCTTGTCGAGGATACAACAGTTTATTGGTACACAATCTAAAAATCTTCAAAAACATTAAAATCAATTCTCTCAAGGAGGCTCTTTGAACGTCTGTTGGAACTGAAGCTCTCCTTAGACCTCAGGTAGAATTCATATGTCCGATCTATTACTAAAGGTGCTGAAAAAATTATTGTTTCCTTGTACAACTTTAACAACTATCTAACATCTCTTGCTACACTCAGTCTTTAGAAGAGCCAGATCAAACTACTTGACTGTCTTGATAAGTGTTAAAAGTGTCTACACTGCCTTGTGAGTGATGAATTATTTCCCAACCTACAACACCTACTTACATGGCGTGTATTTTACCGTTATGTTAATCATTTTATGTTTATCTTTATGTTAACCGTTATATTTTCTTTCATATTCCTAAAGCAAGAAATAAGTTCCATTTGGGCAGATTTTTCCCAAGAACTGCTGCTTTGTGGAACAGATTCGTGGCTGGATGTTTTCCCAATCACGATAATCTTGTCCTCTTCAATTCAACCGTAATCTTTTCTGCATATACCAATATCGCCACTATTTGACCTTTCTTACGTTCATACAACACT